ACATGTGTTGCTGCCCTTATTGACCAACGTCATCGATGAACCGTAAAGTGATGCCCTCATATGTGCCATAGTTGATCCATGCCATTCCGTGTTCAGTAACACACAGCGTTCTGTCATTTTTGGCCAGTGGAACATCATAAGTGCATGTATGACCTGTCACGTTATAACAACAAGAAATATTGCAAAGTATTTAAACTTATCAGAGTACTGATGCTGGAGTTGCTGAAGTTCTAGTGTATTCATGGAGACTGAATGTTTGTGCAACACTGGGCGGAACTGAATGCTGACCGAATTAAAGCAGTGAGGATGAATTATGAGGTTAGTGAGAAAAATGCTGTGAATTCGATAATATTGAATGGCCCAGACGCATTAATGCCTAAACGACACGACCAGTTACACTTAGTTTACCTCTATTGAAAGCGTCATGAAATTACAACTCAACAGCAATGACTTTTTTTAGGGCTTCAGTCCAAGCAATACTATGTCACTGATTCATTTCATGTTGATGATTCTCGTGCCCTTGTTGTTGCTGTGCTCGATTCGACATCTGAAGTACCTGGCATACTTTACCACCGTTGCCAACGTGATTCTGCTCATAGCTATCGTAATCTTGCTTCAGTACATGGTTCGTGATTTGCCTCCTTCAAGCCGACTACCCGCTTTCAACAGCTGGAACACACTGCCATTGTTTTTTGGATCTGCCATGTTTGCCTTTCAAGGAATTAACACCGTATGCATAATATTTTATTTCAGCAAAATATTTTTTTATGTGCATACTGAGTTATCTAATTTTGATCTTGTTGTTTACATTTGAAAATAATTTACCAAAACGCCAATTTATGGAATTCAGATTTGCTGACAGCGGGGAGAGCCATCGAATAGGTTACAGTACATACCAGTAAGGTGCAATATGCAGCGGCCTTATAGATAACATGATCATATTCTTCATGTTCGTCATTCTCCTGTTGCTCATCATCTCTTCCATCAGGGTATCAGCTGTAACTGCGAAACAGTTATGAATATGAAAGACTCAGAATAGAACGATAAAAAACAGATGGGCAGAAAATGAATCCCCTACAAGAATGATTCAAATATTAGCACAGGAAAAGGAAACTCCAAATGTTTGAGGATCACAACAATGAAACGGAAGCCTGCAAGAGCTGGAACCGAGTAAATTCACAATCTCAGTTTAAATGTTCAGCATGAGAAATTCGACATTACAGCAATGACGAGCTGAACGCGTATCAAAAGAGTGTTTTGTGAACCACCAAGCTACAGACAAAACTGATAGTTGCAAGATGCATTCGTTTTGCTATAGTTCAGTAAGACAGACTGGTGATGGTTCCAAGTCACTATGCGAAACATTCAGAGGAACAACCCGTATAATTAATCTTGATTAAGACTGAAAGGAATTTTTATTTTTATTAGACTAAATATTTGTACATGTTCTTTAGATAAGCGCAATTGAAAGCAGGTCTTTGAGACCAAAAAACATCATAAAATGGAACGGTGTCTTGAATACCAGCTGTGTGCTAGTGGCTGTTTTGTACATTGTCCTCGGTTTCTATGGTTACGTCAAGTTCGGTGACGAAGTCAAAGGAACCGTTACCTTGAATCTACCGATGGACGAACCGTAAGTAAAGCTTACGTTGATGAAGGTAGCTTAAGGAACGTTTTACGTGTCATGATATTTGAACTTTCAGGTTAGCTATTTCCTAAAGATAAACTTCTTCATCTCAAGTTGAAGAACTTGCAGATGTTTTATTCCTGAAATAGTTTTTGATTCTGGACGGGTAGTTCATCATCCGGTTGTTTTCTTGATCCAGGATTAGGAAACTCTAGCGTAAAATAGAGGTGACAACGTGATATAACTGATTTTCATAACGAAATGCGTCGACTATTAGTAAAACCTTTTCGTCTCTCTTTTGAGCTTGAGTTGAATCATGAAAACAATTTGTTTTCAAATATCTTCTTCCAAAAATGAGCTAATATTGACGTCATAATAAGGGTTTCTTAAATGAGCCAAAAACTTCCCTTAGTGCGTTCCGTGACCAAATATCACAGCATATCGCAGCATCCCATTCGCACCATTATTTGCTCATTATGCCCCCCTACCCAGTTGGCTTATTTAAGCAAAGCATACCTCGATGGTCCTTGTAGTACTCGATGCGTCTCAGATCATTTTTCTGGCTAAATACCAATCCCCTGTAGTGTAAAATTTATGAAGGTCATTATACCGGGTTGTACTGCAATGTTGCACCGCCCTCTTGCTTCTAAACATCGGGGGTTACTTTTAGCACGTCATGACTCCATGGTGCTTGAGCACCTGTAGTGCGTAGGACGCATATCAGGATCTCTGGGTCAGGAAATGGGCTATTGCTTATTAGCCCGCAAGTGTCTCACCTTACTAACAAGAGTTTTTCCAGTCGAATCAAATACCAGCTGACCCAAACAGCTGTATTTACTTTGTTTCTTCCTTAATGACGATCGAAGCCTGTTCCGTTGAAAGGATAAAATAGTTGTAAATGAAACTATTTTGTTTTTTGTGCTGTTGATTATGGAAGCGGAAGATCTGTTTAAAAATCTAAAAAATTTTATTGTACGATTTTTGATCACATTATGACAGGAATGTTGGGTTAGTTATCGAATGAGATCAACTGAGCTAACTGGACAACGAGCTCAAGTTCTTAACTTAGCAAAAACTTTTTGTTAAGTTCAGTGTTGATCACACCACAGAGAGCCCCTCGTTTCTGAGCATTTCGTGCATCTTTTACCTGACACCATTTTCTGGGTTACTACCGAAGTAGATCACGGTGAATTGAACTCATGAGGCAATTAGGAGTAGAAGTTATTTCATGAGATTTCTTTGAGTCAGCAGCGCATTTGACTGGCACCTTCTGCTGAATCTTCTGTCCTGTTGATTACTTCAAGCCCGTTCCGTTGATTGTTGTTTACCTAAACATATATTTTTTATATTGGGATCATAACTTTTCAGGCATTTGTAGACACAGAAAATCTCTGGTTTATGACTTCCGTTGTATTCGCAACTTTTCAACACTTTTGCTATAAGTCATTGGTTATTGCATCGTTACAGAAAATATTCCTCTCCAACAGCAGATCTCCCTTTGATTTTCTTCCATGTTGCATGCTGGCCTCCTGGTCGACGTCCTCA